AAAAAAAAAAAAAAAAAAAAAAAAGAACCGGGGATTTCTTACATCATATTCTGCAACACAGGTCTAGGTGCAGAAAAGAGTGGGAAGGAGAGAGGAGCTGGTGGCGGGAGGCGTAAAAGACACGAGCAAAGGTGACCTGGGTGGGCCAGCATTCCCCAGCGGGTGCTGCAGAGAACTGACAAATACAGAGCATCCTAACATCACGCAGTGTTCTCAACTCCTGTCTTTACTTCTCCACTTCCCCTCTGAACCTCTTCAGGCCATTCTATAAAAGCCACAAAAACAGGGAATGCAGAAACCACAAAGTTGCTCCCAGGTAAGGGACAGGGAAGAGGTAGGAAGAATAAATTAACTCAACTTGCATCTCCCTATAGAGGGGAAAACACAGACAAGGAAAAGGAACAAACAGCACCACCAAAATCTAGCTGACTCAAAGCCCCCTCTGCTGGGAGGACCGAGGTCCCATCCTATTAGAGAAATGATGGCCCTGTACCTGCCTAAAGTGGGTGGGGTGCTCCCCGGGACTTAGCCACCTACTGATGCAGGGGCGCTGCCCACCTTGTGCAGCAGGACATTACACTGGCTGAGGGCTCAACTCAGTGTTGTCAGGAAAGTGACTTTTTTTTTGCGGAATTGGGGATTGAACTCAGGCCCTTGCGCTTGCCAGGCAAGCGCTTATTTTACTGAGCTATTTCCCCAGCCCAGGAAAGTGTCTTTTGATTGTTTTGTTTTGTTTTGTTTTGTTGTGTTTTTGAGGCAGGGTCTTGCTATGAGCCTCAAGATGGCCTCAAACCTATGATAATCCTCCTGCCTCGGCTTCCCAAGTGCTGGGAATACAGACATATACCACCATGCCTGGCTCTAGATAAGGTGTCTACAAGGCATAGAACTGGCCAGATGGCTCAGTGGACTGAAGTGCCTGCTTAGGCAGAGTGCAGCTGCTGGGGTTCGATCCCTAGCACCACATGCAGTGCTGGCCCCGCCCCCAGGGTGCTCCGAGACAGCAACTGAGACTGAGCGTGGTGGCACGTGCCTGTAATTCCAACGCTTGGGAGGCTGAAAAGAGGAGAATCACTGAGTTCGACCTATGTAGTGAGACCCTGTAGACCCTGGACCAAATACATAAAGAAAAAAAGCTTTAAAAAAAAAAAAAAGGCGTGACATTCAACTGAACAAGTCATGCCAGTCCAGCCAAGCACCAACCCTGACCTGAGCACTCAGAGCAGAGCCCTAAGTCATCTCCAACACGCCCGGGCTTTGTCATTGGGAAATTCGCAGAGCACCAGCATAATTCATCATCCACCAGTATAGCAGCATTGTGCCCTCGGACTGAATATCTAACATATGACAATGTCCATGCATATGTCTCTTGGTCCACTAAAATCTCAGAGGCATCGATACCAAACAAAACGGAGCAAAAGGCCCAGATCACCATATTAACGGTTGGAGCATTTTGCAGCTGGTATATAGACATGGCCACCAGAGGGCACTGTCCTGGAAATAATAAGCAACAGAAAAACTCTTTTTGGTGTTTTCCTTCTTAAACTTGAGTAACAAAACACCTTATGAAAACATGAAGTGCGATTTCCTAGGGTTCTAGAATGGCCCAAGACCTACCTTCTCTCTGAAATCATTATCTGGACAAAGGAAAGCAACCAGACCTTGAACTTAACCCTTCCACAGAAACTAAGGCTCCGCTCTATCTAATTTCCCCAGAATAGTTACCATCATGGGGTGACTTGAAGCTCCCATCTCTGTAAAGACAGGGTGTCAACAAAACAGGAAAGGTGGCCTGCAGGTCTAGCAGGGGATCGTCAGGCTGTCCAGACTGTCTTCTTGAGCCTGCAAACCAGCCAGTGAAACACAGCCACCCAGACAGACACAAGCACAGACAGCTACCAGTAGAGAAATCTGAGGAAAGATAAACTGGGATTTCCCAAGTCCTATATGATGACAGGTGCCCCACATCAGAACTGGACTTCGAGAACAGCCAAAAGAGCTTCTCTGAATTTCTCCAGTGTCCAGGGTAGTGCAGCATTCAAGTGTCCTTTCCTTGCGTTCCCAAAGCCCTAGGCCCCATTTTCAAAGCTCTGGCTGTGAGTTCCTCTGGACTCCTTTGCGTGTTCCCAGGGCTACTCTGCCTGCACGGCAGATCTCCAAGAGCCTGCTCTTTCTTAGGGAGCCATCAGGGAGGAAGGAACCAAGGCCACCCCAGAACCTGGCGATCCTGTAGACAAGACTGCACAGAGATGACTTGCGTGGCCCGTGGGGCAGCTGTGAGGGACACTAGGGTGCTGCCAGGCCTGCCAGCATGTGTCAGCTCAGTCCCTCCCCTCTAGGATCAGGAGATAGGAAACCCCACTGGTGGGCTCTCCAAGATGTTTGCGGACCCCTAAACATCACAGTGATGAAAATGCAAGTGGGCCCATTTTCAGAAACCAAATCCACTCAGTGGAGTCACTGCACAACAAAAGGTTTCAACCTGGAGTTTGCAAAACGCTCAGGGAGGCGGATTCCATTAGGCAAAAGGGATTTAAGTAATAGTTTTTCAGAGGCAAAGCCCCAGTCACAGCGCAAGGCAAAGCACACCTGAACCACCTCTTGGCACTTCTGTAATTTATTGAAAATGTGATCTACTCAACCCGTCTCCACTACAGTGCTCCAGCACGGAAGCGGGACCCAGCCCAGACGGCTGGAAGGCCATTCTACTCCACACGCTTTTTACCCAGCACCTTCTAGGCACCAGCTACACCGAGCCCTGGAACCCCAGGTAAGATATCCCACTCCTCCGGTTCCCCTTCTCAGACACGTGGCTCGGAATCACCACCCGAGCCAATTTAGAAGGCGAAGGCTGCCGGAGGCTATAATGAGACAGCAAATCGCCAGACACAAGCCAAGTGTTGCTGCTCCCTTCAGTTGGGCTCAACCGGGTGATATGCAATGACAGCGCCAGGAGCCGGGCACACGAGGGGCACATAGTAGGTAGTGGACAAACCCTGGTGCCGTTCTCCACCAAGGGAAGGAGACTAAAGAAGAAACACGCCAGTTCAAAAGTACGTTTAAGTCTCGAGTGACAGCGTGGACTCCCCGATTCCCCAGGTCCCTTCGCCAACCTTCAAGAGTTCCCACCGCGCCCTGGGCGGCTGGGGGCCTCCGGGCCGGGTCACAGTGCACCTGAGAGCCCCGGCCCGAGCCCATCGCCCCTCCCGGCCATCGCTTCCCTCGGACAGTGCCCCGAGCCCCACGGCCACCTGGCTCCTCCGACCCAGCCTCCCAGAGCGCCGCTCCTTCCCGTTTTGCTCTCGCCTCCCCGGCGCCCGCTGAGGCTGAGCGGGGCTCAGGCCAGGGTTGGGGGGGTCCCCGGGCGCCGGAGCGTCCCTCCTTACCTGCACAGCTCGGCGAAGGCCTGGAAATTGAGCTTCTTGATTTTCTTCTCGCTCAGCCAGTAGCCGACTCTCTTCCCTTTCAGAAAGGTCTGCATCTTCCTCCTCGGGCGGGAGCTTGGGTCCAGAGGAAATCGCCCAGAGGCCGAGACTAGGGCCAGCGCGCGGCGAGCGTGCGGGCACCTCCTCCCGGCGGCGGGGACGCGGAACGCGCTCGGGCGCGCAGCCCTGCGGGGCGGGGCG